CTGAGAAGTCCACCATCTGCCGTCTGCAAGCTGGAGACCCAGGAGAGTGGGGGGGTGGGGTTCAGTCCAAACCCAAAGGCCTGAGACTCAGGGAGCCGATGGTATGAACCCCACCCAAGAACTGGAGAAGACGAGATGTCCCGGCTCCAGCAGTAAGGCAGGAGAAGGGAGGTGACTTCTTCCTTCCTCCACCATTTATTCTGTTGAGGCCCTCACCGGATTGGGTGAGGCCCACCCACAATGGGGAGGGCAGTCTGCGTTACTGAGTCCAGGATTCAAATGCTAATCTCATCCAGAAACACTCCCACAGATGCACCAGAAGTGATGTCTAACCTAGAACCCCGTGGCCAGTCAAGTGGACACATAGGATTCACCGTCACAGGGGCTTTGCAGATGTATTTTCAGTTGAGGATCTTGACATGAGATCATGCTGGCTTTAAGGTGGATTCTGAATCCAATGACTGTGTCCTTACAACAGAAAGGAGAGGAGGATTCAGATACACAGAAACAGGAAAAGGCCACGTGAAGAAGGAGGAAAGATTGGCGCAATGCAGCCACAAAGACCGCCGAGGGCTGCCCGTGCCACGGGAGAGGGGCCTGGGAGCAGTGGACCCCCGGGGCCTCCAGAAGGAGCCACCCAGCCGACATCGTGATTTCAGCCCTCTGGCCTCCAGAATCTTGCCCCAGAGAATAAAATTCTTTTGTTTAAACCACTCGCGTCATGGTAATCTGTTACAGCAGCCCCAGGAAATGAACACAAAGCCTTCTCGTGTTTTTAAAAGTGTTTGTGCATCCACGCGACATGCGTACCTGCTGGGTGGATCCCCAGACAGTGCCTGCTTCACATAACTCAGCCAAAGACTGAAGACTTATTTAACTGACGCTGCCAACTTGAAAATAAACCCACAGGTCCTTCCAGGACCCCCGAGACCCAAGGGCTGCAAATGGGAACTGTTCTGATTCCTCGTTTACAGACAAGGAATCGGGAAGGGGAGGCGGCCCCCCCTCCTTACGGTCGGAGAAGAGCGAGGACAGTCCGGCTCGCCTGGCCTCTAAGGCTGCGTGCGGAGTAGCGCTGTCCACCAGGGACATGATGCACACCACCGTGCAGCCACACAGGGAACTTAGAATTTTCTAGTAGCCATGTTAAGAAAAGAAAATGAAGCAGGTGAAGTTAATTTAAATAATCATATTCGTTTCCTGGGGCCACTGTAACAAATTACCAGAAACTTGGTGACTTTAAGCAATAAAAATTTATTCCCTTGCAGTTCTGGAGGCCAGAACCCAAACCAAGGTGTCATCGTGGCTGCACTGCCCGCACAGCCTCAAGGCTGGGGGGGTCTGTTCCTGCCTCTTCCAGCTTCTGGCGGCTGCCGGCATGCCTTGGCTTGTGGCCGCGTCACTCCAGTCTCTGCCTCCGTGCTCACACTGCCCCCTCCCCTGCTCTCTGTCTGTTCCAGTCTTCCTCTGCCCCCCACTCATAAGGATACAGGCGATCGCACTGAGGGCTTCCCTGGAGAATCTCCGTATCTCAAGATCTTTAACCAAATCACAGTTGCAAAGAAAGATGCCTTTTCCACAGAAGGTAACATTTACAGGTTCCAGGGGTTAAGACCTGACATCTTTGGGGGACATTATTCAGCCTACTACACTATATTTTATTTAACCCGGTTTGTCCAAAATATTATCATTTTAATATGCAATCAATATTTTTTCATTATTAATGAGATATTTTCCCCTTTTTTCATATTAGGTCTTCAAAATCAGGTATGAATTTTACACTCGTGGTACATCTCTATTGGGGCTTCCCACGTTTCGGAAGCTCAGGGACCACGTCTGGCTGTGGCTGCCATATTGGACAGCGCACTCGACACAAAGGTTTCTGGGACTTTTGTCTTCTTGGTGTTTTGTTCCTTTAAGGCACGGGGAACAAGGTCACATTTGTTAGCATCTCAACGATTAGATTAGAATCTCAGATAAAATGCATGCCTTTCAGTCCAGACCCGTGAATCAAGAGGCTGAAACTGCCCTTGAGGTATGTGCCCAAATCGTGGGCTGATTTTGAGCAATCTGGACTTAAAGTCAACTCTTCAGACCCCAATTTATTACCAAAAGGACAGCAAAATGCCTCTTCCCGTCTGCGATAAGGATGCCAACCTGGGGGCTGAGTTTTACAGTTTGGAAAGCGCTGATTTTCTGTGGCCAGCTCATATGTTAAATTTCATCCCACTTTCAGAGAAGAGGAAACTAAGGCCTGGAGACACCAAGTGAGCTGTCGACCATGGCCCAGAGGCTGACGAGCAGGAAGGGGCACGAGGCCTGAGCCAGTGCCCGGTGGCTGTCAGGCAGCCCTGCTTCCTGTCTGAGCATCGTACTTCGCCTCTCCGAGCCTTGCTCTCCCCATCTCTAAGATGGCCGTGCTAATAGGCCCTCAGCCCAGGCTTGCTGACATAACCCACGTGGCCTGTAGAACTGTGCCCGGCATGAAATACAAAATATCACTGCTATTGGTGTTGTTTTAACAACTGAGATTCAACCCGGCCAGTGTAACCCCGGAAGCCGAGCCCAGGGCCTGGGGATGCATGTACAAAGGTCTACTCGCCTTCCACGAATTAGCAGTCCAGTCGGGGAGGAGACCGGTAAAGGACTAACTACCCCACAGCAGGAGAAGAACCATAATGACGTGTGTGTGCCAGGTGAGGAGAGAAGCACAGAGTTTGAGAAAGGGGGCTTTTGCCGGGTCCCCCAGGAACCTGATTGGCTGCTTGGAAGCCAGGGGGTGTACTGGATAAGGCCCAGAATGGGGGCCCTGCCTGAGCCCCTGTAAGGTGGTCCCCCTCATACACAAGCAGACACCTCCTGCAGGGAAGCAGCCCCAGGCAATTCCTGGGTCGGGCCCCCATGGACACAGAGAGCCCCTGACCACAGGGAGCCAATGGGAGGCTAGACGACAGCCAATGACATGGACAGCCAGGGAGATTCCGCCCTAACAGGTGCTCCCCAGGTGTGAACGGAAGATACCCAGAGAGAGACGGGGAGGTGGGCACAGGAGCCCAGACACACCAAGAGGGGCCAGCTCAGTGCCCGAGGGCTCAGCTGTGAGCGGCAGGAACAGGGCAAAGAACGTGTTGAGAACTAAGCCCCTCTGTGAATCTGCTTCAGGTTCTGGCCAGCCCTGGGGTCCTCACCCGCGCTCCCGTGTCCCACCGGAGAGGTTCCCCTTGTACCGAGAGCATCCTCCCGTGGGCTCCTCTATCCTGGCCTCCTCGGGGCAGCTCGGTGCTAACAACAACAAAGCGAACCAATGCCACTAGCCCAGACTGGTCAGTGCAGGTCTGCACTGGTTCCACTGGATGCTGGGGTCCATGAGAAGCCAAGGCCCCATCGAAGGCCATTTCGGATCCCACTTGTCCTCTGGGTCCCTCAGGGGAAGACGACATTTTCTGTGCAAGCCTCTGACTGCTTCCTTGTCCCCCCATGACCCTAACTCCACCACCATGAAGGCCTCCGGTTCTCACCTTCCCCAAGAGCCAGGTCGTCCCTGGCACAGAGGAGCGCGTATTGACCCGAGCGAGCCCCTTGCAGCCAGCTGCCCCTCCTCACTGCCTGTTCCTGCCAGGCTGTTCTCTGGGCACGGTTCTGGCCACATGGACCCATCAAAGGCCACTAGGGCCGTGAGTGTGTCCTGGTTGAGCACGTTGAAACAGCAGCTGCGAGAAGAGACCAACCAGCTCTGCGGGGAGGGGGCCAGGCCCCGGGGTTGAGCAGGCACCGTCTGGCTCCAGGACAAGAATGGGACCTGGCAGAAAAGAACAGGATCCTCCTGCCGGACAGGGCAGCTGAGGGACAGAGCTTCAGCTGGGGCTGGGGACACAAGCTGGGCAGTAAAATTTAGTGATAAAATAATAATTATTATAGAACAAGATTAATGATAATAATAGTTAACTAGTAACAATAACTAATAATATTTTCCAGGTCCTGTGCCCAGTGCCTTATATATTTGCTCATTGGCCTACTGTTATCCCCATTGTAGAGATGAGAAAATTGGGGTTCACAGGAGTGAAGGGACTCCATCAATTTCGGAGCTAAACTATAGTGCCATGTGTATACATATGGCTGGTGTGTCTGACAAAGACTCTTCAGATTGCCCAGGGCAGGAGGACGGCCGAGAGGCGCTGGTGCTCAGAGCAGGATGTGGAGACCCATTGGGCGGGTCTCCATGGGCCCTGCTGGACGCTCTGACCTCCCCCAGGATCTGCAGTTTCCAATCCGGCCTGCTCATCTCAGAACCGCAGTCAAGCAGCACGTGCACTATAATGGCACTGGGCTGGGAGGTGGTGTTCTGGAAGCGTTCTGAGCTTGGAGCCTGGAAAGGACCAGACACATCCCTTGCCATCCCTCGCACCCTCTGGCACCGGCTGCAGCCCGGGACCCAGGCAGCCTGGCTTGACCATCTCGGAAGGCCATGACCCTTCTATCTCTTCGTCAGCAGCCCCTCCAGCCCTGGGGACAGCACAGGTTTTGGCTTCTGAATTGCACCCCATTATCCTAGAGGAAAAACTTCTGCTTCTTCCTGGCTGGAGGCCCAATTTGCACCCAGCTTTCAGTCCTTCCCTAACTCTGCACAGATTGAGCCACACATGGAGCACATGAAAGCGGCGGGCCTGGGACCAGAAAGCCAGGGCGAGTCCTCATGGGAACCAGGGACGCATGAGGCCCCAGAACAGCTATTGCTGAAGGTGGCAGAGTTAAAGCGAGAGACGGGAGTGCACGGCAGACGTGCCTGCTCGCTCATTCACCCATTCACCCACGTGACCCCTGAACCCTGGCCCTTAAGTGTGCCAGGCCCATGCTGGCCAGGACACAGGGGTCACGTCAGAGGCCCCTCCACATCCGGAGTGGTTTGGGCTTTTCCCTGAGGCAGAGTCGACCTCATGACCTCTCTCAACCCAGGCCGGGAGCTCCTCTGAGCCAGCCTCGCCCTCCCTCCTGCCTCTTACCCTGGCCCCAGACGCCTCTGCCTGAGCTCATCAGGTGATGCCTTCAGCGATGTCACAAGGCCGGCCTCGGCCAGCTGGAAATCCGAGGGGCTTCGGGGCTCTTGCTTTCTCCTCCCTCTCTCTCAAGCATGACTCAGGCGGGGACAGGCCCTGGGCTGTGGTGAGGTTCTCCATTTTTACACAACGGCATTCTTCACTCCGACCCTGCAGGGGGCCCCTTGCCCGCCTCTCAACCCCTGAGAGTCATGGCTCGGATCGGACGCTGGGCAGATGCAGACTCTCTCCTCTGCCAGGGGTCAAGGCCAGTCCTCAGGAAAGGGCCACAGCGGAGGGGAGCGTCCACTCCACTCCAGAGACACCCTCTGCCCTGCATGGCTGGTACCTCCTCCCTCCTTCTCCCCCTCCTCCTCCCCCTTCCTCCCCCTCCCTTCTCTTTTTCCTCTTCTCCAACCAAGAAAGTGACCTCATAGCCAAATTCAACTGGTTAGTGAGGGCCGTATGATTTTTCCAAAGGGTAGCTGTATTTCTGAAAAAGGAAACCAGGTAATAGGTCATTCATTCCTTCCTTCATTCATTCATTGAGAGGCATTAGAGCATGGGCTCGGGAGTCAGACCACCTTTGGGTGTGCCCCTGCCCCACGGCTTGCTGCCTTTGGAACTGTGGGCCAGTGACTTCCCCACTGACCTCCATTCCCTCATCTGGGGATGCAGGAGACAAGCACACAGGGGGCCCAGGGCACCGAGAGAGCTGGCACTTTCTCGACGGCACGAGGGAGCCTTTGGGTAGCCTCAGGCAGGGTGCCGATGTGGTCACGGGGGACAGGGAGCCGGGGAAGGAGAGCGGCAGTGAGGAGGCTGGCGCTGTCGCCCAGATGAACGGTGATGGGCCTGAGAGACGTGGAATAGAGACCCGAGAGGCCCCAGGGACAAGCTGGCTGTGACGTGTCAGAGAGAGGGCCAAGTGAGAAAACAGGAGGTCAGGAGAAGTCAGAATGGCGGGTACCTCTGGGCGGAGGAGGGGTACTGACTGGGATGGCACTCGAGGGAACTTCCTGGGTGCTGAGAAATTTCTGTGTCTCCATCTGGCTGGTAGTTACGGGGATGTCTACATAGGTTAAAAAAAAAAAAAAAAAAGGTTGAGCTGTGCATTTAAGATTTGTGCATTTGACTGCAGGAACATTGTACCTCTAAGTAAAATAAAATAAAATAAAACTCCAATGGCCAGGTCTCTGACTTGAACAGCTAAGCAGAGGGAGATGCCATTTACGGTGATGGGAAGCCTGGAAGAAATGCTGACCTGGGAGCAAAGGTCAGGAATTCAGTTTTGTGCTTAAGCAGTTGCTGAGTACGTAAGTTGTTATCAATGCATTCCTCAGTATAAACAATGCCGAGATGAACATCTCTGTGCCTTCAGATAAATTCCTGCAAGTGGAATTCCTGGATCGAAGTGTACAGGCGTGTCTGTAGGACTTGTGACTCATGTTGCTAACAAGGTTTTATCTATTGCCTTCCTGCCAGCATTTGTTCATTTGTTCTTTCCGTCACTGAGTGCCAGCTCTGTGCCAGGTGCTGTCCTGGGTCCTGGGGCCTCAGTGGCAAACGAGACGGGTCAGTGTCTGCCGCCCCCTCCCTGGAGCTCCCAGTCTGGTGAGGGGGGCAGTGTAGGAAGAGGGCCCTCTTGTTCAGGAGGGTTTATTCAGCCCTGAAGGGGTACAGATTGAACACACTTGCCCACAGCCTTAGCCGGAAATCAGGGACCAGCCGTTGTCAGTGATTTTTCTTCTACAGAGAAAGGTCTAGGAGACAGCTGCAGCCAACACAGCTCGAGAGGAAAAGAGCTCCAGAGGGGAAAAGCACTCCAGGAAAGGGAACAGAATGTGCAAAGGTCTGCCCTGAGGAGGACGTGGCAGGGGAACAGAGCCAGGGGAGAGGTTAGATCTTCATCCCAAGAGCAGTGGGGCCACAGGAGGGTTTTAAGCAGCTGAGGGACTTGGGTTTTTAAAGATGGCTCTGACTGCTGTAGGAGAAAGGATTGTGGGGCCAGGACGAGGCAGTTGAAAGCCCACTGGATAAGTTAGATGTTACTTTGTCCAGGGAATTTGCATTTAAGCCCCCCAACCTCGCCCTGGGGCTTAACAGTAGTTTATGCACAAAGGAAATATGGTTTTTAGTGGCAAAACCTCATGTGATCTCAGTTACACTGACAGAGCTTCACTCCCTAGACACGGAGAGATGGCCAAAATACACAGGAACATTTCTACAAGTTCCAGAACAATAGCTATTGTATCAATCCCTTTTTTGTACAAACCAAAGCAAATATTCCCACACAGGGACAGCTGTGTGTTTGTACAAGCAGAGGAAAAGGTCAGGAAGGACAGACACCCAGCCAGGAACCGTTCATCTCTGGGGAGAAGGACCAGAAAGGCAAGGAGGAGACCATCACTCCGGAATTTTCCGCATTTCTGTGCTGTTGCAATGCTAATCTTGGGCTCCTATTTCACACCTTCCAGCCTTGCGTTAACTTCCGGTTTAGAGGAAATATGGACGATGGAGGAAAAAGCTGAATGACAGCCAGAGGCAGCAAGAGACAAATCTAGAGGGTAGGGCTTTCCATGGAATGCCTGGCCCAGTCTCTCCATCGGTCACTGTCACAGAAAGAGGGGCACTAGCTTAGAACCGCAAGGACACACCGTCAGACCCGATGCATGGTCCTGGGCTGAATACCGCTGTGCATGACCCAGCTGTAAAGGACAATTTGGGGTTAACTGGGAAAATCTTAATAAAATCTTGTTTTAGATAATTTTCTGAGATGGAAATCACCAACCGATTAAAACAGGTCATAAAACAGCATATTTTGTTTTGTTCCCAGAATGAAATCACATTAAGATCATTGTCAGCTTCTCCTAAGAACAATAAACATTCTTCTCTAAAACCACAGCCGGTCATCATCCCGTAATCTATCTGGTCCTATGAGGTCTCTGTTGGGAAAAGGAAACTGTGAGGAGAGTGCGCACATGCTCACGCCTGGTGAAAGATCCAGAAGGCTCTGGCATTGGACCAGCGATGATGTCTGAGAGGCGGGCATGTGATGATTCTGTTTATTTTTGCTTGTTTATATTTTCTAATTTTCTTCATGCACATGTTCTCTTTTTGTAATTTAAAAATATCTTTAAAAATACACATGCATTATCGGTGCTTTTTATTTTTAACTCTCAAGTCAAAAGAAGTGATAGATGGCAGCCCGAGACTCCTCACCTGCCTCTGTCAGACCCTTCACTCGGCTGCGCAGGGCCTTTCAAAACCTATGTGAGGTCTCGGGTGGCGGTGCGCCCCTGAGCCGTGCGCCCTGGCTTTGCCCCAGCGGCGCTGTGGGGCCAGTTGTGCGTGTCATTTGCTCTTGTCTCTGGCGTCCCACCTGCATTCCCCATGCGATTCCCCGGGTTCAGATCACCTGGTGCAGCCTGATTGCACCCATTGCAAAGGCGCTGGTGGTCATGAACACCCGGAGCTTCTGGCAGCCAGGGGAGTGGTCCCTGGCAAGGTGCTTCCTGCTGTAGCCGAGCCGGCTTCGCGGGCTCTCAGAGCGCGGTTGGAGCACGTTGGACGACAGGACAGGGCCAGAGGTGGGACGGGAGGCCAGCAAGGCAAGCCGTAGAGCAGGTGCTCCACTGTCTTGGTGCTCCGAGTCGACCAGACTTGGGCTCAGGTCCCAGCTCCTCCACTCTCAAGTTGGAAGGGACCACCGGCAAGGCGTTTCAGATTCCCAAGCCTTGCTTTTCTCATCTTCCAAACCAGGGCGATGGCAGCTCAGCTCCCTGACAATGCCACCTCCCACCACCTCTCCTCTATAAAATGTGGGCCATGGTCCCCACCGGGCTGCTCTGAGGAGTGAATGAGGTGCTGTGTGTGCGTCCTTTCCTCTGGCACCGGCCGTTCAAGTTCTCGTAGGGACTATCGCAGCGACTAGCAATTTTCATTCATTTTGGTTTAATTCAAAGTCTAGCTGCCCATGACAACTAAATTCAAGGCTTACTCCTTGATTAGATCTTGGATTTTAAAAAACCCAACGACCGGGGCTGGCCCCGTGGTCGAGTAGTTAAGTTCGCGCGCTCCGCTGCAGGCGGCCCAGTGTTTTGTTGGTTCAAACCCTGGGCGCGGACCTGGCACTGCTCATCAAACCACGCTGAGGCAGCGTCCCACATGCCACAACGAGAAGGACCCACAACGAAGAATATACAACTATGTACCGGGGGCTTTGGGGAGAAAAAGGAAAAAAAATAAAATCTAAAAAAAAAAAAAAAAACCCAATGACCTCTAAAGGACATTATTGGGATAATTGGGGAGATTTGAATGTGGACTGTGTAATAAATCATGTAATTGTATTGAAATTAAATTGGGTAAGACAGCGGTACTGTGCTTGCCCAGGAGTGGCCCTTAACCTTAGGAGATGCTAGGTGAAGAGTTCACGGGTGAAGTTTAGTGATGTCTGCACAGTACTTTCAAAGAGGTTAGTCAAAGAGAGAGAGAGGAGGCCCAATGGGAAAGCAGCACCATTGGGTGCTTCCAGGTGAAGGATACATGGGTGTTCATCACAGTATTCTTTCTACTTTTCTGTAGGTTCAATTTTTTTTTTTTTCCCAAAAATAAAATGCTATCAATTTTCTAAGAAAATTGAGTCTGGCTTTCTTGTTGCGTGAGGAACAGGGCTGGAACTTTTCTCCCCTTTTCTTCTCTTCCTCCTGTATTGCTCTCAGGATCCCCAGCTAAGGTAGGCTGCTGTGGGTTATACAGACGTCATGGGCCAGTCTGGGAACCTCCCCACTTGTCTTAATTCTGTTCCCAGGGACAACTGCCAGGTGTCCCCACCCCATCCTTGCCGGGCTGGTCCAACCTGGATACTGGTTCAGGATCGTGTCGCTTTGGCCATTGCTGCCCACTGCCCTCCAGCCGACCCTCTGAGCAACGTCCTCAAGCAAAAGCCCACACTCTGAGCAGAGCGGTCAATAACTCCACCTAATTTAGATGGATTTGACTAGACCACCTCCACTGAGTCTAGAGGTGGGCTGCTCAGAATTAGGAGGACGGTCACAGTGCCTTTGAGACTCTGTTAAAACTACAGAACTTCTCCCATAAAAAACACACACACAGGGCTGGCCCCGTGGCCGAGTTGTTAAGTTCTCATGCTCCGCTGCAGGCGGCCCAGTGTTTCGTTGGTCTGAATCCTGGGCGCAGACATGGCGCTGCTCATCAAACCACGCTGAGGCAGCGTCCCACATGCCACAACTAGAAGGATCCACAACGAAGAATATACAAC